GGATCTCCGGAGCTCCGCCTTGGTCGCCAGAGCCCTCAGCTCCACCCTGGCCCCCCGGATCCTCAGCATCCCCCTGGCTCATCGGCTCTCCGTCTCCACCTTGGGCTCCTCCACCACCTGCTCCGCCACCGTTGGTCGGCCCCCTGGAGTCAGCGGCCATTCCTCCTCCCTGGCTCCTCCCTCCGTTTGATCCACCCTGGCTTCTCCTGATTCCTCCCTCCATCGTCTCCTCCCTGGTCTCCACCCGTCGTCCTCCTCCAGGGTTGTCCGTCCTCCTCCGGAACCTCCTCCCAAGTTCCCACCCACGCTTCCCTCTGTTGTTGCTACGGTGCAAGGACGCACCTTCCGCACCTCACGCCGCGTCTCGTCAGCTCACCGCACCAACAGTTCGAACCGCCTGCTCAGCCCCAAACACCCCCGAATCCTCCAAAGGTCCATGATAGTCCTCAGCCCAGAAATGCCGACCATTCATATGGCATGCAAGGACGCACCTTCCGGGAGGGAGCGTAATGTCAGGATTACGGACTGTCTGTGTTGTGTTTTTGCTCCCTGTGACCCAGTTTCTTCATGTTGATTGTTAATTTGATTCCAGGTGTGTCTCGTTCTTCCCCAATTATCCTGAGTTTAAAAGCCCTAGTCCATTCAGTTAGTGTTTGTCAGGTCTGAACGTCCATCCATGTGTTCCTGTGTCTCCTACGTTCCCCGTGTGATTATTAAATACTGTGGTTTTGAAGAACTTCTCGCGTCCTCGTTCCTTGCTCCCCGAGTGAATTGTGACAACAATCTGATTAAATAATAATAATAATAATAAATGATAAAGTAAAAGGGCAAAAACTGCCCATACTAAATGTGTGATATCTTTCTTTGGATCCTGATTAAACTCTAGTTTGACTTGTAATAAAGGAAATAAATAATGGTCACACTTTAGTTTGGGGACCAATTCTCACCATTATCTATTAACTATGACTTTTGCCTCAATAAACTCCTAATTTGCAGCTTATTAATAGTAAGTTAGTTGTCAAGTGTAGGTGTGAGGTAGGATATAGGGCTCTAAAATATGGTCATGCAGAATAAGGAAATATGCTAGTAATGTGCATGCTAATAAGCAACTAGTTAATAGTGATTATTGGTCCCTAACGTGTTACCTAAACAACAAATAAATTTGTTTAAAGTTTACTTAAAATCATAAACCAGTATTGGAATCAGCCCATTTGTTTTTGAAATAGTGGAAACAGCCATGAAAAATCATGATCAGTGCATCCCTACTCTCTTTATCTATGTTTTTCAGTGTTGTTTGTGTCTTTTTTTTCAGAGGCGGACAGTAGTGAAGTATTTTTCCTCTACTGTAAAAGTACTTTTCAGGTGTCTACTTTATCAGAGTGTTTTTCTTTAGAAAACTTTACTTCACAACATTCCAAAGCATAATATTAGGGATGCACCGAAAGTTCGGCAACCGAAATTATTCAGCCGAAAATAGCAAAAAAAGCTAATAAGCGAAAAGACCGAATAAATTGTACCGAACAATGATATGACACGATCAAATAGCAACCAGCGCAGAGTGAGAGGCGCGCACTCTTTATTATGCAGCACACACGTCAGCAGTGTGGAAGCATGTAGGCCCAATCCCAATTCTACCCCTTAGCCCTTCCCCTAGAAAACTTTACTTCACAACATTCCAAAGCATAATATTGTACTTTTTACTGCACTACGTTTCATATTAAATATAATTTAATACTTAATTACATTAGAAATCTATTACTTTCTTACTTGTACTCAAGTAAAAGTAATTAAAAGATTTACTCGAGTACAAGCAAGTACTTTTTTATGTTCTTAAGTATTAAAGGTAAAACAAACAACTTTTAGTTATGAAATGAAGTGTAGTAAAAATTATGACATTATGCTTTGGAATGTAGTGAAGTAAAGTTTTCCAAAGAAAAACACTGATAAACTACAGATACTTTTTAAATTTACTTGAGTAAAGTAAATATTCTTCACTACTGTCCGCCTCTGCTTTTTTTTATCTGTAATTTGTCAATTATTTTACTCAATGATATTTCAGTTATGTTGTGTGTGGGTCTGTTAATGGCAGACAGTGATTCTCCACATGGTTTTACTCTCATCTCGAGTCTGAAAAACTGATTTCATTCGTTTTCTTAAATTGTTCTGGTTTAACTGGTTTAAGTTCTAAAGAAAACTTTGCCCTCCAGAGTCCTATATAAATGCAGAATTTAAAAGAGTTTCAGAACTTCTGCTCAAAACACAGTTCAGTGGAGAAACATCATCAAACATCTACATCATTATTCATTTCATGTTTAGTAAATATCACTGTACTACTTCATGTGATACTGAGATATATAGATTTTAAAGTGTATTGATTCTACACGTACAGTATCAGACAGCATTGAGACGTTGTGTACAGCAGTTTGTTTGTTTTTTGCTAACAAAACTCAAAGCAATTATTGCAGATTTGCTTAAACAACTTTCTGATGATTCATATCAGAATCTCCATTCACAGCTTCATAATCCAAATAACATTAAAAAACTTAGGTCCACATGTTGAGAGTGAAAGTAATTCAGATCGTTTTCTTCTTGTCCTGCAGCTGTGAGTCGGTGAAGGACGATGGCGTCTGTTAAAGAGCTGCTCGTGGACTCACTGAAGGAACTGTTAGAAGCTGAACTGAAGGAGTTTCACTGGCGCTTAATGAATGCATATCATAAGTGTATATCAAAGTCTGAAATGGAAAAGGTAGATATATTCGACACAGTGGATAAAATGGTGTTGTGTTTTGGACCAGAAGAAGCTGTGAAGATCATGGTGGACATCCTGAGAAAGATGAAGCAGAATGATCTGGCTGAACAGTTGGAGAATGAACACAAGCAAGGTAACATTTAATTCACTGTGACTGTGATGTGAGTAAATATTTAAAAGTGTGATGGTTTGACTTAAACCTCTTTTCTTCTTTGCTTTGCTGATGTGATTAATGTGTGATAAATGTTTCCCAGTGAGTAATTCTCTCTTTCTCTCTCACAGCTCAGGCTGAGGGCAATATGAAGACATCTGTCCCTGTTGGAGGTAATTCACAACATATCTGGAATAAATATCAATCACTGTCTGTAAATAAATACTAGAGAAAATATAACTGCAAGCATTACAGGGCCAATCACATCAGTGACAGATCTTATACAAATATATATTGACTAGAATAGCGCGTCCAACACTTTTGAATAGGGAACGCATATTCATTATTAACTAAAAGTTTTCCCTGAACAAACTCCTAATTTGCTGCTTATTAATAGTTAGTAAGGTAGTTGTTAAGTTTAGGTAAGGTGTAGGATAGATTAAGGGATCTAAAATATGGTCATGCAGAACAAGGTATTAATATGTGCTTTATGAGTACTAATAAACAGCCAATATGCTAGTAATATGCATGTTAATAAGAAACTAATTAATAGTGAGAACTGGTCCTTAAAATAAAGTGTTGCCGCGTGTCCCTAGTGATACCCAGTTCACAAAAGTCTAAAAATTAATTAAACATCTTATATTGTGATAGTTGTTTATTAAAGTTAACCAATAGGTGGCACTGTCACCAAATTGATTCAGTATCATCAATCCATGATTACAAACACACATGGAAAGTTTAATTTAAGCAGGTAAAAATATGTTGTAAATACAGCCTCACATCCTGTTTAATGTGCTAAATGATGTGAAGACCGTTAATCAGCTTTTAGTAACATTAGTCAGCATGGCCTAAAGATGATCTCAATCAATACAATAAAAAAAAAAAACTTTCAGAAATTCTAAAATTGAAACCAAGCTGTTAGAGATGGTCTGTGCTGTTTTCAGCAGTATGAATGTAATCTGTCTGCATCAGTTATTAATAATGATGATCATGCTGATATGAAAAATATGTCAAATTTGTTTAATGCTTTATCAATCTGATTTACTTGTTTTTAATTATAGAGCTGCAAAACTTCTTGAAAACTCACAAAAACAACATGAAGAAGAGAGTAAAATATATTTTTGAGGGCAACAAAGACAATGACACAGATCTCAAGACTGTTTACACAGAGCTGTTCATCACAGAGGGAGATAAGAAAGATGTCAATCACGAACATGAGATTCTGACGATTGATGATGTTTTCAGGAACAAAAAAACACAGGAAAAACCAATCAAATGCAATGATATATTTACTGAACTGAGAAAAAACAATGAGGAGAAGATTGTGCTGACCAAGGGAGTCGCTGGCATCGGAAAAACTGTCTCTGTGCACAAGTTCATCCTGGACTGGGCAGAAGGAAACACCAATCAGGATATAGACTGTGTGTTCCTGCTTCCATTCAGAGAGATCAACATGATTAAAGACAGAGAGGTCAGTCTCCATGAGTTTCTGCTGAAATTTTATCCTGAATTGAAGGACCTGGAGAAATCAAAGTTATATAAGGAATGTAAGCTAGCGTTTATATTTGATGGACTTGATGAGAGTCGACTGCCATTGAACTTTAAAAGAGAAACACTGGACACTGTTGAGGAAAGATCATCTGTAGATGTGCTGTTGCTGCAGAAAAGCCCTGTGAGTAATTTCACTGACTGCTGTTCAATTAAACATTTTGTTCTACATCACTAAACAATTAAATGTTAAAATAATATGTGAGATATTTTCACACTGTCTGGATTATGAAGGGTATAATAAATTATTGCAGAATCACTGAACATCAGACAATAATCTGTCTAAACGTTGTTTTGTCAGATTTGACGGCTGTGGTCTTGATGAAGCATGCTGTGAAACTCTGTCTACTGCTCTACAATCATCAAACTCTCATCTGACAGAGCTGGACCTGAGTAACAATGACCTGCAGGATTCAGGAGTGAAGCTGCTCTCTGATGGACTGAAGAGTTCAAACTGTCAGCTGGAGACACTGAATTTGATGGACTTGATGAGAGTCGACTGCCATTGAACTTTAAAAGCAAAACACTGAACACTGTTGAGGAAAGATCACCTGTAGATGTGCTGTTCACAAGTCTGGTCAAAGGTAAACTGCTTCCATCAGCTCTGGTCTGGGTGACATCACGACCAGCAGCAGCCAATCAGATCCCTCCTCGGTATGTGGGTTTGTTCACAGAAGTGCGAGGATTCACCGATGAACAGAAGGAGCAGTACTTCAGAAAGAGAATCACAGATCGTGAAATCCTTTGCTCTGAGGATCATATATTACTCTTGGTTCTTGCCTCATTTCAGTAGAACAGATTCAGTGTGTTGATAACTGGACACCCGCTGTGACCGGATCATTGAGTCAGTGAGTTGAACTGGATCAGTTTGATTCATGAACGATTTGCTGCAGTGTTGAGCACAAATGCACAGATGAGTTATGAACAGGAGTTGACTCTGAGGCATTTTTTGGGCCTTGGAGATGCTGCCCTTACATTTGTGCTTATTTAAGCTACTTATAACTTTTTAATGGATACATCGGGCAAGTACGTCAACTTATTCTACCAACCAGAACTTTCATTTAGAGTATTAGTAGGCTTAGAGTTAGTTGGCATGTAGTTGCAAAGTTGCTTTTAGTCAACAGACTAAGGGGACCATCAAAATCAAATGTAATGTAATACAACAAGAAAAAATATTGCATTATTTTCATTTAAAAGTATTACAACTGCGCTTAAACTAGCTCACAGCAAAATTAACATTAACCTCACAGGTGTCAGGTTGTGCTACTGTGTGGAGCACGGAGACAAAGGAGCGAAGAGACGAGGAGTAGAATTCAAACCAACAAGCTTTAATGCCATCCAGGGAACAAGGAAAACACAGGATGAGGAGAGGACGAGCCACACCTGGGATCAATGGAAATAAAACGGGGAACACCTGGAATCAAATCAACATAATCAGGACAGGAACAGGAAACTAACCAAATATGGGCATAGGAAGGTACATGGGGAGCAAGACATACACAAAACACGGAACAAAGTTTGACATCTTTAACTTTTTGATACTTTAATATTTTGAAATGATTCCACTTCTGCAATAATCTGCAGATTGTCTTCTTAAAAAAGAGTCCAACCTTAGGTCTTGTATTCCAAAGCGTTATAACAATTAAAGTTTGAATAGTGCACTTTCACATCTACATTCAAAAATGGAGGGTGGCATTTAAAGGGTTATTCTAAGATTTTTTTTTACATCTTATTAGTTTTTTTACTGTAAAATGACAAATGCAAAGTCTTCATGAATACATCCAAAAGGCTTTATAATGTGGTCTTATTATTTATAAGTGTACTTTGTCTGCTTTAAGTATATAAAGTCAAAATAAAATCAATCAAATCAACATAATCAGGACAGGAACAGCAAACTAACCAAATATGGGCATAGGAAGGTACATGGGGAGCAAGACACACAAAACACGGAACAAAGTCTGACAACAGGAAACACTCAAAAACACTGAACCACTCCTAACCGCTCACAAGATGTAGTAAGATACTGTGCAGATCTTAAACAAACAATGTCACGATATGAGATAATCCATTATAAATTAAGTGGATTTAATATGGAATTAATTGTGTGTTATAAATAATCATACTCTTAAAAGTTATAACCACAAATGCATAAGTATCACAATGTATTATAATTGTTATGATTATTTATGAGATGATACAACATATTATAAGTTTTTTTATAATGCATTCATTATAATGCCTTAAGGATACCCTTATAATGCATAATAAATACAGGTTTCATAGAAAGTGTTACCCCAAAAGCTCTTGGTGCATTGTGCACCACAGTGTTGCGATCCACACCCATATTAAAAGCAGCAGACAAGGTCCGTCCTTTTGTGAACTGCTTAAGAACCTGTTTACATCATGCCAGCACTTGATCTGGTGTATGAAAAAAAAGTATTGTACCCAATGAGAATGCTGTACAACACAGTACACACACATATGATAAAATAAGCATATAATTTCTTCTCCTGATAAAGCATGAAATCAGAATGCCATAACAGTAAGATCCTGATGTTTTGCAGGGGACAGACACAGTATTAGTTCCACTTGTGGTGTTGAAAGTGCTTTATAAATAAAGTAGAGTTGAATTGAGTATTATGTATGTGCCAAAGAAGTTCAGTACAAAAAGCAATACAACTATTGGGTGATCATATTTAGTATTTTATTTAATAATGGCTGTAAATTATGGTAAAATGTTTTCATAATGGGCCACTGATAATTTTTCGTTAACCACTGGAGATTTCACTTATGAGAGAAGGAGGATCACATTGTCATTGAAATTGTGATGAATCTGCATGTAACTGACCCAAAGTTTGAAAAGTCTATAATCTGTAATTCAACTAATACAAAGAAGTATGTGTCTACAAACTAACAAGCAAAAAAATAATTTTAATGCATTTTTTAAATGATTTTCTCAAGAATTTGTTCCTCATTAACAAAACCTATATTTCACATAACCTTACAGTGCATTTTTCTGCAGAGTTCGGTTTGTGCCAAATAGATACTCAAAAATAGGTTCAAATCTACTTCAGGGACACAGCATCAACAAAAAGTGAATATAACTCATACATAGTGTTTTTGAAACTAAATTGTGATTGTACCTCTTTGCCATGGAGCATTCTTTGACTTCCTGTCTGTTTTGCCAGACATTTTGTTTTTTTTGCCCTTGACCTTCATCTTTTTCTTCCTTTTCTTTTCTGTATCTGTGTCTGAGGTAGAATCAGATCTAGAAGTTTCAGATGAAGAGTCTGTACAGCTATCATCAGAGGATTGTGAATGACTAGTGTCATCTTTCATTTTGATAGCTGTTAAACGAGACAATGAAAAGGATACATCAGGTTCAGAATATTGTACATAATATTGTTGTGTAAAGGAACATGAGGAACATCAAAATGATCAAAATCAAAATTATGAAAATGAATGTCTGCCTTGTTTTTATTCTAGTATCCAGTAAGTGTATAAATTGAGTTATGCATTATCACGTAAAAAGAAATAAAGAGTTAAAGAGAGAAGACAGGGAAAGGAAACACAGGCTAGTGGACGTGCACACAACAGCACCACTGTTAAAGACAGTAGGGGACACACTGTTGCATGTACACTAGTACTAAACTGTCCTTTTCTTATGTACCATCAGTGCCTGATAATTTAATTTAGTGGTTTACTTTGAAATTTAAGATGTTAACATTGATTATTACACAGCTCTGTGGAATACTTGATTCTGATTGGTCAGTTGCGACATTCCGCTGTATGTTATCCCTCGATAACAACCGGTAAAAGCTGATAAAACACGCTCATCCGGGTAACTGAAGTCAGCGCTGTACTCTTGCCAGGGACAGTTTCTCTTCGTGGGAGCTTTGCGTTTGCTTAGCTAATAAAATATTAAAACTTAGTTCAATATTAGGTGTACAATTATTTAATTATGACATCCTGGTATCACGGACTCGCTCTCGTTTCATACAAACGCAGCTGCTGCCATTTTGCGATGATTGTTTTGTACACTGTAATGGATTATAAGATGTAACTAACAAACTGGCAAGATTTTATAACATTTTCATCTTAAATCAATATCTTTTATCGCGTTATTTATTTATGTGTTGAAATGTTGTGTAAGTGAAGGAAGAATGACTGGAGGATGCAAGAGAAAGAAGTGGGTATTTAGGATGTTGAGTGTCAGGAATGAAGAAAATGGAAGTGGGAAGCCTAATCTAGAGCTTGTGGAAAAAAGGTATCAAGGACATCTTGGTCCCCTTGATCATGTAAGTCCTGGGTCCTCTGTCATCAGTGACGAATGGCGTGCTCACAGCATACTGTCGGTTCTAGGGTCTGATCATCATACTGTTAACCACAGAAAGTGGTATGTACAGTAGACCCACATTCAGGTGCACACACCCAGCATATTGAAAGAGCCTGGAGAACATACAAGGAGGAAATCTGCAGGCTTAGGAGGAACCGGACTGAAAGCTTGCTATCTGATCACATCACTGTAATTGAGTGGTATGAATGACTTGCTAGGAAACACCGTGATGGGGCCTTTGGTAGAATAATTCATGACATTTCAAAACTGTATAAGTAAGTGTGTGTGTGTGTGTGTGTGTGTGTGTATGGTACTCCAATGGTGGTGTGATGTTTCTATCTGTCAGGCCATCTTTTCTTCGTCATGTCAAGCCATGTTAATAAAAATAAATGAGTTATGATTTCGGTATGACCTGTGTTGTGTCTGCTTTGATCCTTACAAAACAAGGTTAAGCGATTGCCAACTTTTAAAGTAATGGATCATTAATAAATGTTTGTAACACAGTTCGTAGTCACGGGAAGAAGGAGGCGGGAACCGGCGAACATTTAAAGAAAACCTTAATAAAATAAACAAACACAAAATGAAAGTAAAGCGGCAGCCCCTCGCGTACGACTGCCGCCCACAAAACTCAAAATAAAATCCAGGCCTGGTCCTCTCTCGTCTTTCACTGTCGTAGCTCCTCCTTTTATCTTTCCGGAGCTCCTCCGTGGGACTCGAGACCGGTGAGTGGTGCAGGTGTCGCT